CCAAAGAGTTTAGATCAATGCATGAACCTTACACTACCTCCAATGCAAAACATCTGCGTAAACTCAAAATCATATGACCCCCTTGGGGGCAGTGAGAAGGAAAAACTCTCTTTTAACAGGAAGAAACTTCCGGCAGAACCAGGCTCAGAAAGGGGTGGTCATCTGCCGCAACCGGTTGGGGTGTGACTTACTTTTTGTAAGTTGTTCATTTTGAAACATTTTTTAATTATTATAATTGTTTGTGCCTTTACTTCAGAGAAGACTTAGTGTAAACAAATTTTCAGGCTTCTCGATTTATTTTTTAATCATGAGCGTTATTAGCTAAAACACATAACCAATATAATATCTGCTGTGTAGAGTTCAATGACATTTTGTGCAAATCATCATTACATAACAATATTACAGTCCCTCAGCAACACTCGTCTGCAGTTGTAATTATCTAGAATAATGGTTGTTTCAGTTCAGGCAGTGCTGAACATTTTGTTTTAAAAGCTGATGTTTGTATTGGGGAGAAAAAAAAAATCATACAGGAACCATCACTCGCTTTCTTTTCAGTATCGCACACTTTCGCCTCACTTCAGTGTGGTACTGAGACACCCTAATAAAAAATAGTCCAGAGTAGAAGGACTATGTGTATGCATGCAGTATTTTTTCTTTCACTCTTAGATAGGATGTTCCTAATTTTGACAATACTTAAGATGAAAGAAGGCTGTCCTCGTTTGATTTATATATGACTTCCAGAATATCTTGTCTGTTTTGGGGACAAAATGAATATGCATAATACCATTTTTGTCAGCCTGAAAAAAACAGTTTAGGTTTTGTTTGTGTGCTTAATTTTGTTTCTTTGGTATTCATTCGCTGTGCTGACTTGTTTCCATCCAACTTTTGCTTTTACTTGCTGGTTAGCTTTAGGTACCAAAAGCTGCATGGACAGATTTGGGGTAGTTACAAACAAACAAAAAGCTTCATTAGTGCCTTAAATATTTTAAGGCCCTAAAAAGTATTTTGTTAAGTTTAAGCACTGAACACTACTTGTTTATTTTTATGAAAAGGTTGCCATTTGGATTAAAGTGTGTCATTTCAACACACTAACCCTGTAAAGTGGGACATAACATCAAAGCATCCTTTAAGAGTATCTACATGTGCTGATTTGGAAGTATGAGATGTAGTAAACCAAACTATTCATTATTAAATAAAGTCAACAAAAGCACAACTTGAGTCAAATAAATTTTATTAATTACATGTAATATAATGTCTACTTACTATTCCAATAATTATTAAATATAACATGAAAAAAAAATAATGGTTACATAATTTAAACTGTAACTACCACAGATGAAAAGGTTTGAACAAGGAGGAAGTAAAGGGGTAAAAATGCTTTTGCAAGCTTGCTTGTGTCTGGCAGCAAAACACTGGAAAGCTCATACCACGTGATGCTAGACTTTGAAACACAAACCAGGATGAAAAGGAAAATAACGGCAATATTTTCTTTTCACAGTGTGAATTTTGTATTTTACTCTATAAGACAGCACAGAGCACAGAGCACAAAAACAGTGACTGCATAGAAAAGCAATTTCTTGGCCAATACACCCGGGAGAAATACGCAGAGTACATAGAACACAATTGATTTTCACAGTAAATACAATACAAAGCAATTCAGTATATCTGGGTAATAATAATAAGTCTATAAAAGTCCATTTTAATATTACTTACAAATGTAATCCTTTACACCTTACATACCTCTACAAGCTCTGAGCTGTGGGTCCATCTTTAGTCATTTGTGACCCAAATTCATGAGTGGCTACCAAGAATCTCATCCAAATTGATATCTTTCATCCAGTCATCATTTCCAGAGCCCGATTTGAGCAGGGAATCTATGAAGTCTGAGTCTGCATTGATTCCCGGAACTGTGTTGTCCCCCTCTGGGAGGAAGTCAAAGGTCAGACGGTTAGTTCTGTTATTATGGTAGCTGCTAGAGCTGGGACTGGGCTCTGTAAAGTTCCCTGCTGGTATCCTCGGTTCAGGTGAGGCCTGGTTAAGGTTTCCCACGGCTGAGGGAGAACCCATCATTGCCTGACTTACTCTCTGGCCTATGTCTCTTAGTGGAGGGTTTAGAGTGTGCATGCTGATGTCTGGTGCTACCTGGTTGGGAGGGGCAATGTGTCTCTGTTGGAATGGATGGTTCGGCAAGTCCTGCACACCCTGGGACTGTAGTGGGTTGGGTAGCTGCCTAATACAGAGTCCAGGTGTCACTTGCTTGTTGGCTGAACCCCAGCCCATGTTGACATTTGTCACCAACCCTCCTACACCCTGTCCTGGCACAGAGGAACGCAAGTGAGATGTCAATCTCGGGTGCTGTACACCTGCCACACTGTTTATCCCAAAAGACTTTCCTTGTGTGTTTGGGCCCTGGAACCTGGGTTTACTCGGATTCAGTCGAATTTGACTGTGACTGTTTTGCTGCTGGCATTGGCTGACACAAGAACTGGGGTGACAATCTGTCCCAATAGAAAATCTACGGTCTGATGGTGAAGCACTCATCTTTGAAGCAGAACCAACCGCAAGGTGACAAGACTGTAGGGTCTTCTCAGGGCCACTGTTAGGACACTGGGAGGAGTTTCGACCTGAAGAAACATCAAACAAAGAAAAAAAAGTTTTTTTTAATTAAGATTGTTTGTTAGCATGTAAAGCATTCCCTTAATCACTAGAAATTTAAAGTACCTGGGAAGATGTTTCCCTGCTGAACTCCAGCTATACTTCTTGACTGCTTGTAATCTGGCGGTGGTCTTGTCAGGTGACGACTAAACTGATCATGTGTGTTGTCTTTGTCCTTGAAAGTAAAACAGTATATTCATATGATTGATCAAAGCAGTCTTAATTAATCAGTGAAAACAGTGAAAATGATGTAAATGCAGCTTACTGAATTGCCGATGGTGTGCTGCGGTTGGTTGAGCTGTCTTTGCATGGCCTGTGTTTTTGGAGGCCCTTTCTGCTGGTTGTTTGGGACCGGGGGTCGTGGCTGTGGCTGGGCTGACATGACTCCTAAGCTTCCATTAGTGGGCAGCCTTGGACCAGCAGGAAGACCCTTTGAAAAAGAGACAATAGGATGGTCTTGCATTACTCTCAGTGAAAGCACAAAATCAAAAACATTGCAACAACACAGGCATGCCAGTAGGGGGCAAAACTCTACAAGACATCATATATCTGTTTCAAAGATGCTATTCAACCTCCAGAATGTGGTCAAGGCTACTCCCTCTGCAGATGAAAAAGGGAAAAATGGAGGGGGCTTTTTTTTTTCTGTTCTTTTTTTTTTTTTGTTGGGGGAGGTGCGGGGGGGTTCAAGTCATCCTCAAGGCCTGCCTCTCCCCTGATAATTGTGTCTAAAGAGAGTGGAAAGAATCCCTGAGACAGCAGGAAATGTGTGCCGATGGGAAGTTAAGCGCCAGCGCCATGACTACCTCCATTTAATAAGCTCTCCCTTACTGATCACTGTGTTGTTTTTGGCAAGGAGGCATTCCATCCTCTAGAAACCCATTTGGCTCCTGACACTATCACTGATTAAAATGTTGTAGTCTGCGGCGCAGGAATTGAGAGATCCAAACTAGCTTTTCGTTTAAAGTTTTGTGCTCAGTGTATGCTTTTTTTTGTTGTTGTTGCAGATAATCTTTCACCACGTGAATGCCATGGTGCTTAAGATGTTACAGTCCTTCCATTTCATATTTTCTTCAGCTTTTTTAGACAGCTGTGGCGACCATCCAAGTGCTCCAAATAAAACTAGCCTTTCATGTGGACACCCTCACAACACACAAGCTTGCATCAAGTGCGAACATTTGTCACGAAGGAGGTTAATGTGCACCAAATCCAAGTCAACACATACTGTGTATACAGTGTCAGTCATTGTGTTGACTTAAAATGTTTCCCAGGGTAAAATGGATTAGAAATCCAACAGTGCATTTACCAGAAGCTACTACTTAAGGACAGAGTCTTTGCAGAGAATGAATATTTACAGGGTAGTAGCTTTCTGATTTTCTGAAGAAAAAAAAAGGAAGAATATGTGTGTGTGTGTGTGTCTACTAGTCTTAGTGAATGATAATGAATGGACTGAAATTTGGAGAAGTAACGAGACAGGATTAGAGAATAAGGGAAGCCGAAACTCATCAGGAGTCACAAGCCACTTCACGTAAGCTAATATTCGCCTTCTCTGCCCGAGTTCAACCCACACAGCAAACCAAGCATGGCAATGAGGTTACACAGGGACTGAAACATCAAAACAGTGGTTTCTCCTCTTACAGTAGAAAGCAGAGTCACTGGTTTTGATTTACTTTATCCATTTACCGAGTCTATAAGAAAACGTGACCTTCAAAGACTTGTTCCCCACAGAGGTAAACTGAAGAGAGCTTGATCCGTCTTTGTTGTAAGAAAAGACCCAATGAGGGGTGTTTTAGCGTGTACAACTGAGTAATCCTCTGTCATCCTGATGTGTCATAAAGCTGTTTTCCATGTTTTCCCCCCTTCCATTCTTCACAAGTTTTTTGTAAATGAATACCACATGTGGCTCGGGCTTGAGAGAAGGAGCGGAGTGATTTAGTCTCCCATCCTGTGGCAGCGCAGGCAGCTGACAGTGATCCAGGCCCAGCCTCGCCGGCTCTCACACTGCACTTCCTCCAGTCTGGTCTCAGGATGCTGTCCCTGGGGAGCGCCTCGGCATCTGGACTTGGCCGCAGCTCCCTTTCCCAGGAAACAAGTACTCCCTTCACAGCACTGCTGGAGTGACCTGGTAGGCTCAACCCCTATGGCCCCGCTCTTATCCTAACTGAAGGATCTGGTGCCACAAGATCGACAACAAAAGTTGAGGAGTCCTTATTTACTTTGAGTTAACCTTTATTTTTAGATGTTGCCTTAGTTTTGAGTTCTACTCCATGTTTGCCGTTACTAGACAGTTGTGTAGTAGTAGTGATAAAACAGAAAGGAAATGTGTTAGACGGGTTATGACATCCAGCTCAGGTCTGCAGCCAGATTATGTGGCATGCACTGTGAGCATTCGGCTACTTTGGCGACTGGGTTCATGCATTTCAGTAAGGACAGTATTCTCCAGAAAGTTTGTGTGTCGTATTAAAATAGGAATTGGTTTTAGCCGAAACTAAAAACTATGGGATGATGAAATCGCTGTCAAATGTCTTCATTTGATCTGATGCAGAGAAAATACGGATGTCGCTTTGGATGAGACTGTCTGACAAATATTTGTGACGCATGTGTACACAACTGAATTTGAAATAAAAAAATATGTAAACATAGGTCATTATATTGCTATAAAGATATTTAATATGGAAAAATATTCAGTAACTATTTGACTTGAGTCATTAACTTTCACTAACATAGTTTGTGCTTGAAAACCATTTTTCTTTGTTTCCCTGAAAGGTCTTTCTGGAACCGAAAACTCCATACAGAGCTTTTTTCTTTTTATTGAAGCAGTACTTTTTCCACTGCTGCAATATTTCAGAAATTAAAAATAATAAACACCTGCAGGATTGCCTCATTCTTTATTAGCACTCATATTACACCGCAAAGTATTTTTTCTTTAGCCAAAACAAACAAGACAGCTACACAACTGGTGAAACTAGCAACACAAAATTTTGTCCTTGAGACAGCATTGCCACCAACCACAGTAACTCAGGTTTCATAATGCATTAGTGTCCTCTAGTGCATGCTGCTCCAGAATGTACTCGTATGAGTACTTTAAGTGGGTGAAGCGAATATTGTGCAACCTCAGAGGTTTACACAGTGGTGGATTTGAATTTCGTCAGGTTTGATTCAGAAAGTGATTATTAGTAAGAAGCTTCAAACATGTTTGGACGTGCATGCTTTAATAACGGTCTCCAGCTTCAGGCAGTGGAAGGAAGCCCACTGCTAGTTACTTGTGTTACACAGGGGATCAGGGCACTCTTTCAGGACCTTTATTTCTCTGGCATTACTAATTCAGTTCACTGTGGGAAGAGACTCCACTCTTTTTCTCCTCTCTATAAGCTGTCCCTCTCTCATTAGCTGGACTTTTAACCCTGTACATGCTGGCTAAAATTTACAAACACCATTATCAGCACTTTTTAGCTCAGCTTGATTAATTATAAATAGTGTCCATAAATTATAAAGGTCTTTTTTATTTATCCTCAACTCTAACCCTATCATATTCATAGCTACGTGCTGGTTATTTGGTCACATTAAAAAATAAAATCTCTTTGGGAAAGCTGTCTCACCAAGCCCTTAACCTCTCACAAACTTTTAAAAAGAGGTTTTACTTTAAGGAGCTCTGAAATAATGTTTAATAATTCAACAAATTCACAAGTCTTTTTCATTATTTGATATCCAGCTCTGTTAAGTGTCTTCCCCTTTTCTCTCACTGCGATCCTTTTTAAATTAGATACCACATCTTACATATTTGATAAAAAATGCTTATTATCTCTAATGCAACACTAATACTACTGTCACTTTTACGGCAGCCAGTACATTTGCTTGAAATGATGCATTGTGTTTATAAAAAAAAATTAGAAATGTTGTGAAATGGGGTCAATCTGAGCCCAGAAAATGCTTTTTTTTTCTTTGTTTATTTAAATCATCTACCAATCTTTAAGCCCGTGTATTTCTGCCTCAAACATTTATGTAAGGCTTCTGATATCGGGAATATTTGTCAAGTAGTTTCAAGGTAACCATGAACAGCCACTGTTTAAAGTGTAAATAGCTCTAGCAGTGGTAAAACTGGTCCCGTTTTGATGTGTTGATGTAAATGTCATGATCCTACCTGGTTTACTTCCATGTCTGCATAACTCCCTCCCTCTCTCCTTCTTCCCACCCTCTCCCAGTCACCCAAGCACTTCCCTTGATCTGCAGAGGTTATGAGAGCTCTGTTGCGGGGCTCGCATTATCGTTTCACACAAAGGCAGCTACAGATATTGTTGGTGCAAAAAAATGAAAGAGGGGAGGGTCTAAATCTCTCCAATCATAACAAATCAGTGATTCAACCTCCGGCACTAGGCTAAGCAGATTACTGTCATTTTCCACCACTTGTCCCTTGTAGCTAACAACCTCCAATTAGCAAATCCCGCTGTGCATATCTGTGCCCTGACAGGGAGCCACCATGACAAGCAGAGAAATTAGAAGTCCTGCATGATAATCTACCATGCTCTGGCAATCTGTGTCATCGTCAAACGCACACACACAGACATTAGCGAGAACAATAAAGTCGCAGAATAAACAGAGCTGCATTGTAGCTGTTTTAGACAGCAGGTTGGCTGCTGCAAGCAAACCGAAGATGCCAGCAGGACAACTAAAGGAGTACGTTTGATTGTCCTTTGGATTATGTTACTAGACTTTCTATAGAAAAAAAAGGCAGTCGGTGGTGTTATTGACTTTGTTCATAAAGTGCAGTAAAATAGAAATATGAAACATTCTGTGGATCAAACAGAATATTAAGTAGCCATACTGGTCTCAGTATTTCATGGCACTAGCTATGCTTGATATGCCGCTATGGGCACATGTTACATCAAATCTCTTAATTGTGGAAGCCGTCCTGCTGTAGAGCTGAAAAGTTAAAATAGTGTTTTCACATAAGGGCAATCGTGTGTAAAGGAATTTTGGACAGAGACCTTACCTGCCGCTGCTGTGACGGTCTGAAAGGCAGCCCTCCGTGAGCAGTCTTGGTTTGCAGACAAAGGGCTCCTGATGTGGGGATTTGTTGGTTCTGGAAATGGAGACCTGAATGTGGCTGATGTGGACCCGGTGAAGGTGACTGTTGCTGCTGTTCTGTCTTGTTCACTGGGTTCGTCATGATAGACATGGGCTGGCTGGCAGAATGGGGTACTTTGGGGCTGAAATGCAATGTAGGCTTGGTGCTGAGAACCTTCATGTCCAAATGATTGGAGCCATTGTGGCTGGTTGATTTGAAGAGACAGTTGTTGATCCCTTTATTGTGAGAGCCAATCCTCTGCTGGTTGAGTGGGAGTGGGCTAGAGACATTGTCTTGAGGGAAGGTGCTGGTGGAGGAGTGGGTGCTCATGGAAGGAGCCCAGCTGGTCATGGCCACAGGTGGGGTTTGGTGGTGGTGATGGAGAAGAGAATTCGGTTGCTGCTGGTTTGCTGCCATCTGCTTTAGCTGCTCTGCGTGAGATATTTCAGGCCAGCAGGGCATCCTTGGGTGTCCTGCCTGAGTGTTAGCTTTTTGCGATGTGGTGGTTGAAGACGTGCTGGTCAATGTGAAAGTGGGCCCTGCAGAAGCGGGCCGAAGCTGTGGTGAGCCACAATGAGCCTGCCCAAAATCGGGTGAGTGCTCTGTCTTTATCGGCTTCTCCAGTGGAGAGCACAGACTGGCAGCTGCTCCCGCCGAGCTTGGCCGTCCTAGATCCAAGCCAAATGTATCATCCTGCTTTAGCATCTTTTCAAACTCCAGGTCATTCAGTGTAGGCACCGTCTTTGTCAGTTCATCAAAGAGATCCTGGAGTTCTGGATCGATCTGACCTTCATCTTTGAAGTCAAACATCATCTCTGCATTTGACTGGTCACAAGACTGGATCTCAGGGGGCTCTTTCTTCATTTCTTTCAGGGTCATGTTGAATATGTCTGACCCCAGTGCATGAGGCATCATGTAATTCTTCCTCTGCATGCTCATGGCTGAGGTGCCTTGCAGAGAATGGGACTGGGCTAAGTTGTGGTCCACACGGACCCGCTTAAAGTCTGATCCAGGGAAACCACAGGAGAGGCCATTTTGCTTTGATATTTGTCCTGGGGCATGCCCCTCAATCTTCCTTCGCAAAGATCCATGAATCTGCAAAAAACAACATATAGAAGTTAAACCCAGGAAAAAAAATATCAAAGGCTTTTAACATTTACCTTTTTTATCACAAGGTAAGCAACCCCCTCCCCTCAAAAATAACCCCAGCAGGTATGCAGTTCAGGTAAACCCGGAGTTAACTTATTGTACTTAATGGAAAATATGTCATGTGAGAGAATGTAAAGCAGTTCTGAAAATGAATACACTGGACAGACGTGAAGTGACACCATGTATTCAAGACTAATTTCACGCGTATTAATTAACAAATGCTAATCTTAAAGTTAAAAAAAGCAGTGATTTCTCAAACGGTTCATTCTGGCATCAATCACAAATACGGGTAAGACCATGCACATTCAGATTGCGCAAAATTTGAATACACAGTTTTATTTAAACTCTTGCAATACAGCAAGAAGGAACTGGAAAAATGTTTTGATATAATGTAGCCTGAGTGCATTGAATGGGATATGAAGATAGTTAGGAATCTGATATAGTCGACAGACTGCAGAGAGAAGAATAAGCTCTTTGTCTGTTTCCCTCATTTGCATACATTATATTTTCATCCATTGTGCTTCGTTAGATATACAGAGTTTCTCCTTTGTGGCTGAGATTCTGCTTAACATGCTGGTGCAGATATCTGATTTCCTTTTGTCCTCTACCCATGTCTTCATTTAAGGTAATAAGAACAGAGGTGGAACTAACTAAGCGCACAGCAACACTCTTTACATCCTAACTGTCAATTTTACTATGTCCAAAAATGAGTCATATTTTTAAGAGAAGATATCATCATGTCAACAAAACAATACAATCTCCAATATGAGTCTTTAACAACAGCGAGAAAGGCTGTCTATTAAGGAGCGATCTGTTGTGTACATTCATACAAATGGCTGATTATCTGACCATATTTTAATGCGATTCCTGCATGGAAACAAAATGGTTTTAATTGTACACCAGCCTGATCATAGGAGGAGTATCAGTGTGTTGCATATTTCACTGTGGAACAAATTTGACTCATTTCCACTAGCTGGCATTAAGATGATTCATAGCTTGAGGCTTTGGAGCGAATCCTGCAGTTCACTACATTTCTACTCTGTTCATGTCATATTATTTCTACTAATGCTCTTAACAACAGTTCATGTTAATCAAGGTACAAATATCTCTGACTCACCAAGCCTGTAAATGCTAATACATGTCCATGCGTGCTTCGACACAGTAACTGGATGATGACAATAATGCTGATGCACTTAAAAGCAGAGGGACATTGTTGTGTTTAATCACACTGACTTTGCATTTAACTTTATCTCGCTAATACAAACCACATTTTTTTAAACCGCAACTGCAAAACAAAGATATCCTGGAGAAAAATTCAACGTGCAAGCAGCTGACCCTTACTTTTGCTCCATTTTATGATGAGTATGAATCCACTCAAAAAAACAAAAAACAAAAAAAATGCTACGGTCAGTTTTCATTCTCTTGGATGTTTGCCTCCTATTGTGCAAAATAATGTATGTTGAGAGTTTGCACTTTCAAGGTGCTTATAAAAATCTGTTTTTTTCTTAATCTAAGCTCATCCAACAGCCCCAACAGGGCTTGCATGTGCAACATTTGCCACATTAAAACTTATTTGGAGGCATAGCCCAGTGCAGTAGGAATCTTGAAATCTGCATTGAGGATTGTTTCAATAGCAGAAAAAAGAGAGTAGTATCTAAAAAATGTTCTCGACAGGGACAAATAAGTAAACAAAGTAGGCTGGTAAGTGAAATGTAATGTACGTTTTATTGGTTTCCACCCAAAAAATAAAACAATTAATAATAATAATATTAATAATTAAATAATAATAGTAATTAAGATAATAATTTAAAAAGTAATGAAACAAAATAAAATGCAACCCAATACCAAACAAAAAGAGAGGCAATAATTTAAACATGTAAAAAACCACATGTTATATACCTATGTGGTTTTTTTTACATTAAATGACTTTTGTTGCCATGATGCCAGGTCTCTCTTGGAAATGAGATGTTTAATCTCAATGAGATTTTTACTTGGATAAATAAAGGACTAATAAATAAAAAAACAAAACATGCTTTGCTAGATAAAGTAACCTCAGCAGACAGTTTCTTAGAGTCTAGAGAGGGAAAAAAACTCTTATCCTAATGGCAGTCTGGCTGCTTGATTCCTGCTTAATACAGGGAACTCTGGAGTTACATATAATTTTACACTGGAAATGCTCCATGAGTTAATCAGCCATATGAACTTTTTCCATCTTCAGTGAGAGCCACATAATCTACGACATGTGATTTTCGCCAAAACCAGATGAGAACAGGCTGTTTTTTTTAGTGTGTGCACCTCAGGTACATGTTCTCTCATTCCACAGGGCTCTTTCTGGAAAAGACAGACAGGAGTACTCCTCATGGTTCAAGGCACTGTCAGTGAAAACACATCATGAATAATGGAAAGGACAGTGCATGTGTTGCAAAAAGCCACTGTGAGAGAGGGTTGCCTCATTTCTGTTTCTGTGCCATTTAAAAAACAACAACAACAAAAAAAAATAGCCAGGAGTAGTGTTCAGTTCAAACTTCAAGGATGAAGTGTCTCAAGACTTTGCAGTTGAGACTTTCTCATGCTTCAGTCACTCATATGTGTCACGATACTGGCTTCAATTGGGACAAACCCCAACGTCAAGCGCAAACACTTCACGGCAAAAAAGGACCATCCTGCTCACTCAACTCTCAGTACTCGGATGCAGTGGCCTCACAGCTGACCTGAAATCCTCATGACTGATCTCCTAGTGATCTCAAAATAGATTTTTTGATTAACATTTAATGAGCTCAGATGCTCTGAATCACTTTGAAAGAGATTCCTTCTGCATGAGCGGCTTAAACCTATATATTATATACTGATCATCTAAGAGAGGCACGCGCAACTGCGCCGTTGATTTTCTGTGTTGACAAAACGTTCAGCCACTGTCAGTCCCAAGGTTATAGTTTAGCACAGTGTGTACACCAGGATTTTATTTTATTTTTTTCAAAAATGGATTAGTACAAGCTGGAAAATCAAATTAAAAGTTCTCACAGCTATAGTAAACCGAAAAATAACCCAATACGGCACAGTGCAGAGCCGCTGATCCAAGCTTGGAAACAATTTTCCAAAAAATGATTTTCCTGAGGAAATTAAGAATGATAAGTTCCGTTTTGAACATATTCCGGTTCACGTTTGTTGATGATCTTTGACTGTGTCAGTGAGGAACCTGACCTTGGCCATGTCAACAGAGCCTATCTGTTCATGTGAGCTGGAAGGCTGTTGGCTTGTGTGTCAAGCTGAGCACTGCAGTGATGCTGAGCAGTGTGGATGGGGCTCCGGGTGAGCCATCACAACGGCGCAACACCAAGCCTCATGGTACCATCTGTCAGTCCAGTGGCACAGCCCTCTGAGCCATACATGCTTTAAGGGTATAGGTTTTAGAGTGTTTGCAGGTTTTGTGTCTGCGCATGTGTGAGTAAGAGAGTGTGGCTCAACGAGAGATCGAGCTTGCCAGCCTTTAATCTATTCACCAGAGCCTTGAAACATGTTGCAATCTGCTCCTGAGAGAGCTAGAGACCTCCCTCTCGGCATTTGACATGGAAAAAAACAGTCCCAAAATAAAGGAATAAATACGACTATTGTGTTCCTAGGGAGACATAATATTTATGCAGTTCAGCAGGTTGCATACTGTTGCAAGAGGGGATTTCAGCTCATTTATTGCCAGATAAGAAATAAGAACCTTCAGACCAGTGCCAATGATCAGCTGTCACACAAAATTCATCTGCAGGCCCAAATGTGGAAAGTTCCGTCGAATTATAAAATTTGAACTAGCCGAAGGAAGCTGCAAGCTATGATAGTGTAGCCAAAAAACATCCATGATAACTTGAACATTTTCATTATTTTAAGGCTCAGACTTGGTATGTATATTCACAAAGCAGCATATAGGCAAATCATACTGTGTGTGTGTGTGTGTGTGTGTGTGTGTGTGTGGTCATCGAAGAGGTAGGGGGGGGATCCTTGTTTGTTTTACTCAGCATATTTCAGTGAGTAGCGAGGTAAGCAGAGTGTATTTGATACTATGCAACAAAACAAAAAAAAAAAATCTCCAGGATAACAGTGATATCATAACAACCACTAGAAAACATACTCAATCACTACCGACAATTTTGCACTTCAATTTAAATTTAAAGAGCCATCTTTGGCTTTAACACAATACAAACATTTCATTGAACAACAGGATTTGCATAGAAGTAAGAATAAAAGGAATTTAACTTTAGTAGACGCAATAATACGTCTTTTTTATTATAATTCAGGTATTCTGCTTTTGTTGGATAGTTACATTGAATTTAATTCATATGCCGTAAGGTTACACAGGAATGTGAGCGCAGGTTCATGGCGTGCCTCCCTAATCAGGCTGGTGTGTGTTGGGACGAAGCAGCACACTGCAGAGGTGGGCTACTTTTGGCTCCTCAGCACTTTGCATCCCCATACTTCCTGACACAGTTGTATTAGATTGAGGATGCCCTCCAGAGAGCAGGCAGGAGAGAAGGATGAGCAGCGGCAGCAGCAGGAGGAATAAAAGAGGCAGCTTTGTGGCAGCCTCTGGGAAATGGGAAGAGATGATAAGAGCTCCTTTGAAGAGAAATCATCCATTATGTTTACTGAGGGCAGACTTCTTTTTTTTAAAACAGTTACTGTATCTCAGTTCCAGCATTCCGTAGAGAAACTTGCTATTTTAATCAAAAGCAGCTTGAACACTAAAAATCCTGTTAGACATTTACCTTCCAAAGAAGAGCTCCCCACTGTCCAAATCTGAAGATTACAGGGGAAGATTATAGCTAGTCCTTGCTTCGGCATGTTCACAATCCAGAAATATTTAATGCGATATCACCAAGGTTAAAGGACAGGAGAACATTCTCCAAAAACATGCAAGGACATCATAAGAACTCATATAAGCCAAGCAATGCAGCTCTCTT